TGCAAAAATATTTCTACAAATATTATCTAGTCACTGTCATTTTCAGTGCTCAATGTAAAAGTGTTCTTCAGGTTACTCTCCCTTGTCTTCTAAAAAATGAACACTTACTGACAAGCCAAAAACCTTAATGTAGAGATGGAGTACAGAGGGCCCCTCTCACGAGTTTGAGAGCAGAAGAGCATTTGGAGCAATTCATAATCAGGGCTGACGAAAAGGGATGTTGGATAAGCAACATTAGATCCAAGTGAGAGACAGCATTAAGTAAAAATCAGAGTTCATGTAAACATGAGCAAACAATACCAGTTTGCAAAGAGAAACTGAAACACTGGTGAAAAAAAAAATTGTTAAATAAATTGCAGACTAATATTTCAGGGTAAAATTCAGTACTGTGTGCTTTCACACATGTATCTGCAAAAACAACCCACCACTGAACGTGGAAATTAGAAAAAGCTGATGAAAACATGCTTTTCCTAGTCGTTAATCTCTTCTGGAGCAGAATTCTTAAGAAGTTGACTATATATAGAGTGAGCTATTCTGGGAAGCAAAGCAAGCTCTCCTCACCCCTTCCTGCTGGAGCCAGGGACTGGATCACAGCTCCCCTACAAACTGTGGAAAGTCAGCACACTGCCAGCATCTGGTGTGCACGGGGTACAGAAACATGTTAAATGCTTGTTCTATCAGTCAACTTTTAATATATAGTTGATAAGAAGCATGATTTTAATTTCAAAGTTGATATGGGTCTTTTTAAAGTTAGACACCTCAAAAAAAGACTGTTAGCAGTCTTTGGTCTGACATTTCAAAATTCTCACTTTTAAAAAATTACTTTTCACAGCAGAATGACAGCCTGTATTTTCAAATAGGGGCTGTTTTATCCATGTAAGAAATGCTGTTTACCTTCATAAATGTTCACACCACAGGACTGAGCAGAACAGTAAAAATTAATATTAAAAAAAAAAATCTAAGTAAGTCACTAAGGTTCACTTCCAGAATTACAAGAATGAGCAGCATGGAATTATTATATTGTTCTTTTAATTCAAAGAACAGTATGAAAAAAACAGTTGCCATCATCCATACCGAACTCCAAGGGAATCATTTAGGTTTGTTCCCCCTGCCCCCTTCAATAACCTCTCAAATACTCCATTTCAAGATGTTTCACCGGATAAAACACGTTTAAGAGGTTTTTAAAAATAGCATGGAAATGCTACAGATAAATAATAGATTAGCCCAAGCAAATCATCTAAAGGAGCATGTTAGAGTGCAAAGCACTGCACATTCCACTGAAATTTATCCTGAAGTCTGTAAATGAAAGTATTAATTGTTAATGGCTAGCCTCAAGCAATTAAATTCTGCTTTTAGTGATAAGCCTGTGTTGGCCTGTCAGTATTGTGTAAGTACAGCTAAGCTAACTCTGCCTGGGCAGTTCACATGCTGGGATGAGAACAGCTCCAGAAGCAGAGAACTGACTTTGGTCAGCCTTGGCAAAATTTATTCTCTGCTTATACATTAGTTATCTTTAATTGAATTATTCATGGATTTTTTCCACATGCCTCTGAGCAGTTCATAGTCCAGCAGCCTGCAACTTGCTACACCACAACTGGCCTCCTACAGCCAAATTTTTTGTATCTGAAAAGCAGCATCTTTTCTTGTCTGGGAACAGCAAGTCTTTACCTGAGAGAGGTTCCATTGAGCTTGTTGGTTTTGTTGCAATCCATACTTATTTGGTGGCGTGACCATCTGTCCCACCATTCCACCTTGAGGTCCAACGACATTCTGAGGAAGTCCCATCACACCAGTTTGTGTAGTACCAGTAAATCCATTGGGCATTCCCATTCCTACCATCACACCTGTGCTCTGTCCCATAACTGGTACCGATTGTCCCATCATGTTTCCCATCATCCCGGTTGCTGCAGGCACAGGAACTCCCATGGCTGGAAAGCCTTGAAAATGAGTTGATGGTTGTGTGGTAAATGGCATAGAGGATGATCCCATGAACATACCTGTACCAAGGAAGGGAATATTTCAGCAACAGTGCTTTGTGATTTTCTCCCCCATCCCCATAAGTCAGAAGCAAACCAAAATAATTTGGAAGGATAACTTTGTCCAGTTGTACCTCAGTGCTGCTAATTCAGCGTCTGGTAAAAGTAAGAAATTGCTTAAAACCTCTGAAAGGAAAGGGACTCGCCACCAGAGGTGACACTGCCAAAAAGAGTTTGGCAAATCCCAGAATCCTTTAACTGCTGTATTGGGTGGGGGTCTTTGTTTTCATACAAACACAGCTAACATCAAACACAACAGCTCTCTACTGATCCTGGCAGCCTGCTGTTTGCACAGCGGACACTCAGACCCTAGGTGAGGCAGAAGCTGAATTCACAAATCTTTCAGTAAATTATAAACCTGGTAATTTGAACAGCTATAAATAAATTAAAACCACATACTATCTTTTTATTTAGCTTCTGTATTTCATTTCAGTAATTTTCTCATTTTTATAAATGGTAAAAATAAAATTCTTCATCTGAATATAGGTAGCAGGGTTCCCAGCCTTCAGTTTTACACCTGCAGGAGATAACTGTTCTAGGTGAAGCTTAAAACAGGACTGCACAGAAACCTCTGCAAAACGATTTACCCGGAGCATTTTGCTGCTGCATGGTTCCTGTGCCATACAGTGATAAGATGGAGTCTTTGGAGAGTTGTTTCTTTGCCGATTCTTCAGATTTTGTTGTCTGCTCAGTGAATAGATCAAGATCTCCGGATGCCGCAGACAAGGTGGCAGCTGCTGGTTTAGTGGAAGCACTCTGGGAAATAAAGGTCAAGACAGACTACTGAATGAAACCAGCAACAAGAGGTTACCTTAAATATTTACTGCACGTCCTCGCTCCTGAACCAAATAAAACCCAGTTCATTTACAGAAATTAACTTTTAAGTAAATGGGGACTTAAGATGTGGTGCGACCAAAGACGAAAAAGCAGTACAGATGATACGGAAGGACCACCAGACCAGATGGAGGTTATGAAATAAGGAAAACTTAAATCCCTGACCAGCTCCAGGGTGTACACATCCAGAGTATTCATTCCTGTTGCTCCTACATTTTTCATCAGTGAGAAGCATAAATCATGAGCTGTAGTTAGATTATGAAATATAATTAGAAAATCAATAAGGAGATTACAATTCACATCTCATTAATCCTCTCACAGGCACAATAGATTAGAGAAGAGCTAAAACAAAAGATTAAGTGCTTTGGAATATACTACTACAACTAAGATGAACAGTATCTTTGGAGAAAAGGCCAAAGTAAAATTTCAGTTGATCTACTTAAAGTAATAAAATTTCTAAAATACATTGTTTATAATTGGCTTAGAGTTCTTTAAGCACATTTCCTTTATTGGGAAACCATAATTAACTAAAACTTACTGTAGTCTATGACTGAAAAACTAAAATGCACGCAGGCTGGTGGGCTTGCCAACAGCTTGCACAAAAATGTTTTGTAAACACATTACACCCAGGTGTCCCCCGGTGCTGTTCTCCTGCTGCTGGTGCACACACAGTTCCACAGGGGAGCTTGCTTAGGTAACGAGGCAATACACCGCCGCCTGCTTATATTTCCTAAAACACACAACTCGTCCTGCTACCTGCGGGAACTTTTAATGCAAATCTACTGTATATGCATTGAAAAAGAGCCAGGATTGCAATGCATACTCAAATCATGGCTTTGTTTTACCAAGCTAAATGATCCCCCACTGCCTGGCATCCACCTGCCTAATCCCACAGCACACGGGAACTGCAGCCCTTCCCTGCACTGAAGGAGAATCCTCCTTCCACTTCCACCATGAACAGACTGGATCTGCAGCCAGGTCCGTCTCTTTACTGTCATCACCTGCCCAAATTTATCAGACAGACGAGAAGCTACCACAACACAGGCAGGTACAGAACACACCTATATTCTCGCTTAAAGCTACAACCTCCAGACTTCTGGTTTGCTGGCAGGCTGCTGACTAGATCCTGAAAAGCCCACTTTGGTCACACTGGATTTGTACAAACACCACGACACAAACATTCAATGTGCAGCTTCAGAAACACACATGTGACTCCTGAAGAAGGGCAGTAAATTAGGGAAAAAATAACTACAAAACAATTCTGGTACCCACTGAATTGGCCATAAACCATCAGGGGAAAGGAGTGCAGATTCACATGGTTGGTGGTGCAAAATCTCCAAACCTGCATTTATACAACAGCTGATCTGGGCCAAGGTCACTAGACCTTAGTAAGCAACAAAAGGTAGGGTGATAGCACTACAAAGGGAAAGCAGACAGAACAAGACCAGGAATTGTTCAGCTCCTGTGACACCTTCTCTCTGTCCGATGTACACTTAAACTGTCAACTTCCTTATGTACGTATAAAAGCTACTGCCTCTTGCCTATTACTGACAAAAATTTCTGATTGCAAAGCAAAACCTAAGTTTTTTTAACAGGTAGTAGGAAGCCCTCTCCATTTAGGACAGCTTTGTCAAGGTGTCATAACCAGTCTTCGAAAAAACAGAGTTGGATTTAAAAATAAACTCGGGTAAAAGCCCATCCTAAATAGCAGTACTTGTTTTATTGTGCATACGCCCAGGGAGTCCCATTATTGAACGACTGATTCCATGTTGCCATAGTCCTTCTGTCCTTGCATCGGCACTAGACAGCCTCTGCTCAGCAGCCTGGAGAAGCACGTGTCAGCAGTGGAAGCCAGTGAGCAGAGGTGGCTCCTCTGCTGCTTGCGCTGTGTAAGGACGGGGTTTGCTTTTCTCTAGCAGGGAGTTTGTTGGAGGTTTTTTTAATAAATAATAGCATCAGAGAAACTGCTCTCACATGGGATGAACCACAGTTTGGAGTGTCTCCAGATCTATGAAATACTGTTACTCCAGGTGCTTTAATGAAATAAAGAGAAGGAAGAGCCAAAGACCTGGAGGACTGATCATCTGTCACGTTTCTGTCATCGGACTAAACGTTTATTTAACATCTCTTCATTCAGTTTGATTTTGGGAGATTTCAGAGGAGCCAAAGCACTGAACAAGCACTCCCTGAAGTGCTCATCAGCTAAATAAATGGAAGGTAACACAAAATACATGGCAAGAAAACAGCAGGTGGCATTCCAGTAAAAAAATTATAGATATTGACATGACAGGCACAAATACAGGCTGGG